AATGAAACGCGAATTTACAGTTTTATCCTCATATTCTACCTTTAAGCAGCGAAACTTTAACGCTAATTTCCATCGTCGTCCATTGCTTTTCACCATTATTGTCAATTTTGTTGGTTTTTAGTGATTTTTATTTGAATATGATTAATCTATAGCTCAACCATCGATTTCAATATTAAAATCCATAAAAGTCAGTAATTTTTAGATTTCCGAGTTTTTTAACCGAATAAGGCCAAATCGCGACGGTCGGAGGCCACCGAGCGCTTTACCGCCGGTTAAATGGCCGCCGCACCCGCATTTTAGAACAAGGGTTATAATAACTTAAGATTGATTGGTAAGTGAAGGTGTCCTGATTTGGGGCAGGATTCAATAAAAAATGGACCCAAAACCTCATAAATGATGGGGTTTTGTCCTAAAAACAGCAAGGCAAACAACATGTCCTAATCATGCAAATCGATTTCCATTCCCGTTCGTGATGATTTCTTACCAAAATTCGTAGTTCCATTGTAGAAGTACGGGGTTTAATATATATAAAGTTTGTGCTCCACGAGTTTTTGAGTCGAGGTTTTCATCAAATTTTAAAGTTCCGTTGAGTAAATATTGAATCTTGGGTTTAATATATACTTAACATCTATGCTGAACAAATTTTTTGAATCGTGGATATATCCTTCTGCTTTCGTAGAACACTATACATGGATCATTTATACATCATTTGATATCGGGATACAAACCTTAGACATATTAAATCTAAATAATCTTTAAAATGTGGAGAAAGGAAATTGACTGTTGGAGTAAACAAATGCCAAAAATCTCTATTTAGTTATGCTCACCGTCCAAACTCCCATGGAAAATCCAGTGAAGAAACCAAGGCAAAGCAAACACACATGCCTTTAGTAATATTTTTAAAACAGGAGAGAGTATAAGCTAAAAAGAAAAGTTTAAATTAACGAAATTAAGCCTAACACTGCAATTTATTTCCACTTTTGTTTCTAATGACATCAAACTTGATTAATATTTATGATTAATATGATTTATTCAAATACTATATAATACTCGTAATATATTTTATACTATATAAATTTGCGGTATGACTATCTAACTAAACAAATTGTTGTATAGCAAGTAGATTGTATTAGTGTCATTTCTGTATCATAAGCATATTCAAAATACAATGATATTTATGTAAACTATAAATCAAAACAATTTTCTTAAAAGTCAATGGAATTGTTTTTTGGTTAGTGAAATGAAGCCATAATCCAAAATTATCAATAACAAAAAGAGCACAAAAACCAATATAATAATTTGTGACAAAAACAAAAAAAAACCCAATATAATAATTGACTCAATCTTTGTCATTGAGAGTTTGTGACCCTCTGTTTTTGGCTCTCTGATCAATTTTTTTGGAGAAAGAAGAGGCTGGTGAGGGTCTCAAGGATCTCTCCGGTTAATGTTGGGAGATTTCCTTATTTTTTTGGTATAGAAATGAAATATGGTTGTAATGCCCTCGTTTAACTCTTGTATGTTTGGGTTATCGAAAAAAATTACTCCCTCTGTTTCATAATAATTGACCGATATAGTAATGAGACCCTATAATAATTAAATAAAAAAGGAAATTTCCCTCGGAAAAATAATGCAAAATTCCGAAAAACGAGACACTCTCTCTCCACCATATATATATACAGTCGGAGAAACGAGCCCGAAATCAAAGGCAAAGAGAAGAAGATAAGAAAAAAAAAATGGTGGCTGTTCAGTTGTTGAGCTGGATTCTACCTTCACAAGCTTCTTCGAGACCAGATCAAATCCCGTCTCTTAACAGGTTTCTTCTTCTTCTTCCGGTGAAGCTGCTTCATGGTTCTTTACTGTAAATGCAGCGATTCTTAATTTCGGAGTCGTAATGAAAGTTGTGAATATGGAAATTTGTTTTGCAGGAGATTGTGTTTACACTCTCTGCCTTTAGGTGGGATTGACTCTTTTAGATGCAGAGGTGAGAGGTTTCTGAAAACGTCTTTGTTCTGTATGGTCTCTTTCTTCGTTAATCTTGTTCTCTATACTACAGGGACCTTCAGAGTCAAATCTCAAGGGACAGGAGTGCCGTCTACTGACAACCTCGATGTATCAAATGATTTCAATCCCAATTTCCATAAGGTGAAGCCAAACCATGTCTTTTTTTTTCTTTTGGGTTTACTGGTGTCACTGATGAGTCTTCACTATAAACTTTTCATATGTTTATGTCATAAACTTCTTAATCTGCAGAGTCTTCAATATAAACTTTTCATAGGATGCATCCCACTGTATGCTGTGTTCAGAATAGTGCAAAAGATCTTCCAAGAGCTTCCAAGGGCTGGCTTGGCTTTTGCTTGTGCATCGAATTCTCTAAATAAACCTACTCCTTTCAAGTTGGACGTGTCCCTTCCTGCTTTCCAAGATATCAAATGGAGTATTGCAAAGTTTAATTACCTGTTCAATGTTCAGCTTGAGAAGAACGTTGCCACGTATGTCCTTAACCCAATATTCTTTATCAAGATGCTAGCTTGTAGCTTTCCTTCTATTTCTGTGAGATAGTTGAAGCATCATATATGCTTGGTATTTGTATGTACAAATGTTACTAACTACGGAAGCAATTGGCGGTCTTGGGTGGTTGATATGGAGAGTGTCAGAATTGCTTGGATGGGTTCAATAAACTGAAAGTGACAATACAAGCGCTAATAGTGTAAATTCATGACTAAAATGGGTTTGGGGTTGAGGACTGCTCCTAAGTATGAATTTGCTTCACTGGTTTCTCAAATGTACTAATAGATTCTTGCTGAGTATTTATAGTTAGTTTCACTGTGCTTATGATTAGCTTTGTTCACATCTAGTTAAGTTGTATTTTTCTTTGTGAATATGACATTCGTTCTGATCACTTGTCGTGGCTATTTTAGGTCCCTTGTGGTGCTCCTGATATCATGCATATCGTTTGTTGCAATTGGGGGAATCCTATTTTTGAAATTCAGGTAACCTTTATATTTATAGCCTTCTAAAGATGTCTGAGTGTGGTTATAAATGGAAGATAAAAACACAATTCTTGGTTTTAGTTTAATGAAGAAAGTGTAGAAAAGTAAAGACCTTGTAAATGGATATCATGTATTGTATGAAGACCCTTTGTAAATGGATTTAACCTTTAACCTGATGAACACTTTCATTTTTCCATTGCATGATCTCTTACTTACAAGTACAACTTCATATACACTGCTATTGCCTTCTTCTTGTGAAGGAAAGACGATACTCCCTTGGAAGAATGCTTCTGGGAGGCCTGGGCATGCCTTGTTTGCTCTGATACTCATCTAGAGGTTATGATTTGCGTCGTCACCGTATCAAAGATATTATTCCAGATCGATTACAACTTACAAGCCTCGAAGTTCTTGCTATACTAAAAGCCTTTGTGTTTGCTGAAAACTACAGAAGAAGTCGCGTGTTGAAAAACTCATTGGATTTATCCTAGCCATTTGGGGAATATTGTTTTACTCTCAGCTTTTAAGCACAATGACAGAACAATTTCGAGTAAGTTCTTGAGATAGACACTACTGGTGAGAAATGATTGGTACAGATTCCTCATCTCTTTGTCTGGGCAGAGTAATATGCAAAAGCTGAGGGAAGGGGCACAGGTACAAGTCATAGAAGCTGATCATATCATCATTTGTGGAATAAACAGTCATCTGCCATTCATACTAAAGCAACTCAACAGTTATCATGAGCANGCAGTCCGCTTAGGTACCGCCACATCTAGGTAATTCGATCTCTCTATATATCTTACATTTTATCTCCCCGCTTATGTCTGATTACTTTTCCTTGTTACATGATCTCAGGAAGCAGAGACTTCTGCTTATGTCTGACACTCCGAGGAAGCAGATAGACAAGTTAGCTGAGAGCTTCACCAGAGATTTTAATCACATTGACATCCTTACAAAGAGGTAAAGTGGTTGACACTTCTAGTAAACCCGAAAGCAGCTTAGGATCATGGCATATTAATTAATGATCTTGTTGGCTTGCATTTATTTATAGTGCTGATTTTATGCTTCTACCAGTGCAGTTGTAGTCTTAACATGACGAAATCATTTGAGAGGGCTGCCGCCTGTATGGCGCGTGCCATTATTATACTACCAAGGAAAAGCGATCGGTAAGAAATTTTAAGTCTCAAAAAGTATATGTGAAGAGGAAACTGAGATTGCAATCAGCTTTGAGTACTTAGATATGAGTACTAAGCTAGCTCAGCAGTTGGTATATATATAAATCTGTTATAAAACCTGTAAGAAAACTGGAATGGTAGCTGTGAAAAATATAGAATCTCAGTACTTTGTGAAAGAGAAATCAATTAAGTTAAAAATTGTTTCAGGTACGAATTTGATACAGACGCATTTCTTTCTGTATTAGCCCTTCAACCTATACCAGGGATGAAATCTATCCCAACTATTGTAGAGGTAAATTAGGTAATAGAATATCGTGTAGTACGGTTTTCTATTTTAAAGTGCTAATTTTTTTCCTTTTTTCGCCTTTGTTTGCTTGTGGAAATGAATGTAGGTATCAAGCCCGAGTACATATGATCTTCTCAAGTCCATTTCAGGACTGAATGTGGAGCCGGTTGAAAATGTTACGTCCAAATTGTTTGTTCAATGCTCACGTCAAAAAGACCTGATAAAGATCTACAGACACCTACTAAATTACTCAAGTACGACATGCTTTCATCTTATAATACCGTTTATCTGTTTGAAATATTTATTTCATGTTTTCGTAGTAAGTAAGTTTGTATCCAAGACTAATTAATACCAAGTCTGCTTATTGCAGAAAATGTATTTAATCTTAGCAGTTTTCCCAATCTAGTTGGGATGAAGTATAGACAGTTAAGACTTGGTTTCCAGGAGGTAAGGATTGACTATATCTTGTGAGCATGTTTTTTTTTTCGCTCTTCGAGTTATTACCTTTTCGTCTTTGTAATCAATTTAATCCACTACTTTCAGGCCGTGGTTTGTGGCATTTTACGAGATGGGAAAGTAAATTTCCACCCAGATGATGATGAAAAGCTCACGGAAACCGACAAAGTATTGTTTATTGCACCTCTCAGTTGGAGAAAGAAGCAATATACAGACATCAAACTTGAGAACATTACAGTAGACGAGCCGGATACTCGGAAGGAAAAAAGATCACGGCTAGAGAAGATTATAAGACGTCCTAGCAAGTCCTTATCAAAGGTCTGACTCCCAACTACCTCCTCCATAATGCTTGGACTATAATATGACGATTTCGAAAATTTTGAGACCTCTGGTTTTCATCTCTCTATGGTTTACACAGGGATCAGATTCCGTCAAAGGACCCAAAGAATCTATACTTTTACTCGGGTGGCGTGGAGATGTTGTACATATGATCGAGGAGTTTGATAGTTATCTTGGTCCAGGAAGTTCATTGGTATTCTCTCATATACCATTGTTCTCTCTCTCTGTTGTAAACCACAAAAATAGTTACTAATAATTTTCTTTACACACAGGAAATATTATCAGATGTACCATTAGAGGACAGAAGCAGAGTGAGCGATGGATCTGGGAAAATCAAGAACATCAAAGTTTCACATCGGGTAAATATTGTTTTGAGTGACACTACTAACAAAGATAACTTCAAAATCATTAGGTATTGATGTCTTTTGAATCTTCTGCAGGTTGGGAATCCTATGGATTATGATACATTAAAGGAAACTATAATGCACATGCAAACTAAATACAGGAAAGGGGAAGATATTCCTCTGACTATCCTTGTAATATCGGATCGAGACTGGCTTCTTGGAGGTAAGCATTTGCGATTAGTTATTCTTGATTCCGTTTTTTGGCAATTGACACACACTAACATATTTTAGCTGTCTTTTAGATCCATCTAGAGCGGACAAACAATCCGCTTACTCTCTTCTCCTCGCTGAAAGCATCTGCAATAAGCTTGGAGTAAAGGTAATCTACCGTCTTCTCTTTTCATCGCATCCTAGCACATTGAATTTCTTAAAGAATGCATCTTCCTATTGCTGTTTCTCTAGGTACAAAATCTAGCTGCTGAAATCGTCGACTCAAAACTCGGCAAGCAGGTAAAAATATAGCCTTTTTCTGCTCTTTTCTCTTCGAGTTAAGTTAAGTTGCTGAAACATTATACAAAACAATGCAGATAACAGGAATCAAACCGTCCCTAACTTACATAGCAGCAGAGGAAGTAATGAGCCTTGTAACAGCACAAGGTTACATTTGTTCTTATTCGGTTTTCTTTTTAATTTCATATTCATTTACCCGTAATCCGAATAACATCAACACCGTTTTCTTTACAATCAGTTGCTGAAAATAGCGAACTGAACGAGGTGTGGAAGGACATTCTAAATGCAGAGGGCGATGAGATATACGTAAAGGTTAAAAGAAGAAACACTCTCTTCCATCAAATTCTTTTTGCCAGTAACTTTGACAATATTCATAATCATATCTCTCGCAGGACATTGAACTGTACATGAAAAATGGAGAGAACCCATCATTCACCGAGCTNTCAGAGCGAGCATGGNTAAGGAGAGAAGTCGCTATAGGNTACATAAAANGCGGTAAAAAGGTGACTGACTGTTTTATTACTCTGTCTGCAACATACTACCATTAAACATCTTCTTCATCTTCCTCGGTTTCTTTATATTCTGTGTTTTTTTTTGTTTGCTGTTGTTGTTTGCAGGTAATCAATCCGGTTCCAAAGACGGAACCTCTATCCCTCGAAATGACAGACTCATTAATCGTTATATCGGAACTTGAAGGAGACCAACCAACCACACTATGAAACTATATACAAGTCTCTCTATCTTCCATTTCTTATAGTTTCTTACACACCTGCGACATTGGACAAAGGAGACTGACTCACAAATGC